TGATCGTCATCATCATAGGAGTTCTTTTGAAGTTGCACGATCATAATCTTTTTTTCTGTTACTTCAGTGCCTTTTGAACCCTCTGAAGTACTAAACTTATTTGATCTAACTATGCAGCCAGGATATTCGCTTCGCACTTTTACAGGGCATTCTGCATCTGTTATGTCTTTGGATTTTCACCCAAATAAAGATGATCTCATATGCTCCTGTGATGGGGATGGTGAGATACGCTACTGGAGCATTAAAAATGGTAGTTGTGTCAGAGTTTTCAAGGTATGATTTGCATAATCTTATCAACAAACTTTATTTCATAGTTCCGATGTTTATGGACTATTGCTCTTAAGACCTCTATACTCGACTTTTATGTTTGATTGATCATTTGTATTAATTACTCAACATACTTGACTTTTATATTTACTTATTTCAATTTTTTGTAACGTTACAGGGTGGGACAACTCAGATGAGATTTCAACCTCGTACTGGAAGATGCCTTGCAGCTGCTGCTGAGAATGTTGTGTCAATATTAGATGTTGAGACCCAAGCATGCCTTCATCAATTGCAGGTTACTCATCAGTTGTTACTTTTCTGTATTGTGCCTCGTGCTAGCAAAATCTGTTGAGGATCACCTCAAGACTACTTTACAGTAGCAGATATAGTTCATTTTCATATTTCTGTTTAAATCCTTGCTTATATTTGCCATGATGTTACCATTTTTTCTAAGTATTGCAATGAATCTTCATTCTAATAAATATTTAGTCATTTTCTATAATAGTTGCAATGCAGCTTCATTCTGTTAAAATTCATCTTCTTGTTCCTTGTGACTATGACTCGATGATTTAAACATCTATGCTCTGGTTTTTCTGTTGCATGGTGCTTTTCATCAAACAAGTATCATTGTTAATTATAGTGTTTTCCTAGTCCCGACCAGTGATTTAAAAAGCGCTAGGCGCCAAAAGGTGCCACGGTCCAAAAACGCCCGAGGCGCTCGCCCGAGCTAAGTGAGACACTAAAAATTAATAATATTAAAATTAATAGTATTAAAATCAAAATAATAGTGTTATACTGTATACAGTTAACAGTATACTGTATACTGTTAATAGTATACAGTATAACAGTATACTGTTAACAGTATACTTTCGATTTCGAAAGATAAGCGAAAGAGAAGAGAAGAGTGTAAGGGAAGACCGAGGGTGCTGAGAAAAGCGAGAACGGCAGCGACAACGACGAGCGATGACGGTGGCAGTGGTAGCAGCGAGCAGCGGGAGCGGCGAGCGGCGACAGAGGCAGCGACAGCAGCGGGAGCGATGAGCGGCGACTGTGGAAGCGGCAGCGGTAAAAGCGAGCAGCGGTAGTGAGAGCGGCGAGCGGCAACAGTGGCAGCGACAGCGGCAATAGCGAGCAGTGGGAGCGGCGACAGTGGCAGTGGCAGCGAGCAGCGTGAACGGCGAGCAGGGTTAGGGTTGGGGAAGGCTCGCTGATATCAGTGCTTTAGTTGGTTTGATTGAACCAACTAAAGCATCGGAGACCGAACCAAACCTAAATCGGTGGTTCGGTCGCCTGGTTTAACCCAGGCGCTCGCCCGAAGCGCCCGACGCCTGGGCTCGGGCGAGCGCCAAGGCGGCGCTTCTTTGAAGCGTGCTGCTTGGAAATGAAGCGAGGCGCTCGTGCCTCGCCTCGCCCGAGCGCCCGAGCGTCTTTTTAAATCACTGGTCCCGATGTGTTCAAATTTCCAGTCCACTAAAGACAACTTTAGACAGAAAACTTGTTACTTTTTGGGAGCCTGATTTCTTTGTAGTAATTCTTTATCAAACTTAGATGGATATCGAAAGATAAAAACAAAGTTTCACTTGAGAAAGCATATGGTTTACTAAAGATCTGGATATTGTAGTTTTAACTAGAGTACCAAGATTGACATGTTGTGCAATTTATTTTACATTCACCAAATTCAAATTCTTGGAGAAACTTTTTTGCACATGATACTTGTGACTGAGGTGGCCGTTTATGCTAACACTCGGTCATTGGTTATGTTTAGAATTTAAAACAGTCTCTCCATAGCATGCTGGACATATACCCTTGATTCCCCCCACTTGAAGTGTCTTCTAACATGTTACTAAGTTGGTTAAATCTACAACATAAATACATAAAGACTATATTCATCTCCTTGTCATCAATTGGACAAGGTTCTGAATTTTTCTGTATTTTATCTATTGGAGTTTGTCTTATGATATTGATGTGTTTTATCTGTTTTCAACCTTTATCGTCTATCCAGAAAACTGTGCAATTTGCTTGTGTATTGCTCATCTCATGTGTGCATCTTTTCTCATCCTTCCGTATGCTATGTTTGAGGGGTTTCATATAATGAATCAGGTACCTGATTTACTGTTGGTTCACTTTGGAACTAATTAAATTGCAGGGGCATGCAAAACATGTTGATTCTGTATGTTGGGATCCTTCTGGTGAGCTTGTTGTTTCAGTTAGTGAAGACTCGGTCAGGGTATGGTCTCTTGGTTCAGGAAGTGAAGCAGACTGTGTACATGAATTGAGCTGTAATGGAAACAAGTTTCACTCATGTGCTTTTCATCCCACATATCCATCTTTGCTGGTCATTGGTTGTTACCAGGCAAGTAATCGTCCATTACTATCAATGATGTTTTCTCTGCTTCTTTAGTTCATATTTGTTGGAAGGTTTAATTTTATCTTGTATATGCTATCCTGAAGCCACTGTGTTGTTCATGTGTTCTTACTGATTTGTTATGCGTTGAAGCTTTTGTATCTAAAATTTGTTGTTACTCCAAACTCGATACTATCACTTTAAATACCCAAATGTAATATTGGCAAATTTCATAGTAGGCTACTATGTAGAAGATTCAACCTTCACTGATGCATGTCAAGAACAATAGTAATGTAGCAATCTGATGAGATTTAACTCTCTTGTTAGAGCCTTCTCCAGTTCCAGGAGAAAGACTTTCTGGGATAGAATAAGAGAGGAAAATGAAAATTATTTTAAACTAATCTTTGGTAATGTTTTTACCATAAAAATCCCATTAGAAACTCTTTTAAATATTTTATTTAATAGCTAAACAACTTGCCTAATCTTACTATGATGATATTGGAACTCTTGGACTTAAGATAGACTCGAAACTGGAATTTTTTATAAATGATGGAATTGCATCTGGAAATAATACTAATTAGCAAGATCTAAACCTATTGCCACTAGAACATAGTTACTATGCTTGGTGTGCCCCTATAAACTTAATTAGGACTTGGTTTTAGTTGATCGGAAGGCATAGTTGTGATCATCTTGAAAATTATGTTGGAAAATATTCATGTGTGTGAGATGGAGAAAGAGATGCACAAATCAACATTGATAAGAATTATAACAGTCATGTGACCCCGAGTTAACTAGCTTTAAAGTTTCCATGTATAGTAACTCCAACTAATATAACTTGGACTCAAATTTTGAAAAAAAAAAAGAATTCAAGTATTGAACAATGTATCATGATCAGAGCCAAATGAACCAGGTAACCTTGGTCAAGCTGTCCCATAGCATTTGAAAGATATGGACTAGTCAGACATGTTTGATCTCTTGAATTATTGGGAAGTTGATCAATAATCATCCCATATATGAGAGGAATGATGTTAGAATTTGTGCGTACGATGGAGATAGATATGAATTAAAAATTAGTTTCACGTTACTAAGAATAGGAAGAGTCACGCAAGAAATATTTAACTTGGTCCACAATCTGATGAGCTTATTCTCTTAGATTGTATTAGCCAATTTGGTAGTGTAGGAAAGGACTCCACCCCAGGAAGACACCTAAGCAAGGGAGAGCTATGTAGAGTTTCCCAACTGATTGTTTTACTGGTTGATGTACATTAGAAAATGTGGAAACAGACAGCTTCAGTTGTGGGTAAAATATAGTTTCTATCCCAACTGGAAATTTCTTTTTATTACTATTTACTATAATTTTTTTTGCAACGACCTTCTCTGGCGACAAGATGGACAACTATCTGCCTGCTCCTGTGTCACTAATACAAGATTCTGTATCATCTGCAACAATTTTTCTCAAATAAGCTAGCTTGATGTTGAAAAAAAATTGAATGATATTCTTGCTGTATCGACTGGGTTTTCGATCATAAATCTGGATGGTCAACCGGTATCCTATAATATTCAAATGTGTTACCGCGAGATCTTTTGGTTGCTTACGCGATTCCATGTTCTTTCGTGTGCAGTCTCTCGAGCTATGGGATATGAATGAAAGCAAAACAATGACTCTTCCGGCACATGAAGGGCTTATCGCAGCCTTGGCTGTTTCAAATGTGAATGGATTGGTTGCTTCTGCAAGTCATGACAAGTTCGTCAAACTATGGAAATGAACTTAAAAAGGTTGGTGGTTCCAACAGCTATGGAGCATGGTATGTTTTATGTTGCCAGGGCAAATGTGGTTGCTAGCCTTCTTATATGTGACATCAAGGGGAATGTTTTTTGTTGGTGTAGGTGGTGGTCTATGTTTAGATATTGTCCTTGTTTTTGTCCCGCTCTTATGCTTCTCCTCTGCTAGAGGTATTGGTTAGAATAGGGAGGAGGCTTCATAGTTTTGTATCTTGTACCCCATCAATGGTGTGGTTTTGAATGCCTTCTGTCTGTTCTTTGCGGGTCGCCAATTGATCCTCTTTAACTTTAGCTTTTTCTTTTATATTAGAAATTAGTTTAGTTTTAAGTGAAATTATTTAGAATACTTATCAATCCAACACATCTATTTCGCGACTATTTTTGTGTATTCGAGGTTTGTTTCGAGGCCAACCACAATATACTGCATGCTTAAGAATCTTTTCCCGATACCAAACTGTACCTGACCTTTTTTTGACATTGGATTCTCGTTATCGTCCATCTCCCATTCTCTCGAGAAGTGGTCCGTATGTTCTTTTACTTTTCTTCCACGAACCAAAATAATGATGAGTTCGAAGAAATGAAGCTCGACCTGTACACTTTGAAGAAATGAACCAAAATAATGATGAGTTCCATCTCCCATGCATCCATCCATTTATTACATTTGGCTTCAATGGCTAAAATAGAATCAAAACCAGCATTTGATAAGGTAGTTTAGCTTCGCACGCCAAGCACAACACAAAACCAACTCGCAAGCAGACACTCACACACAACTCGGACAGCACATGCACTCACGTCACATCCGTGGAAGCCATGGTCTCCGGCGGCGGAAACGAAGAAGCTACAGCGGTTTGAAGAGCTTGTCGAAGCACTTGGTTCGTTCGTCCTTCCAATCCAGCTGCCGCCACCACCGCACCTCGCATCTGATCTCTTTCAGCTCCGGGGCAACCAAGCTCAGCTTGTTGAGCTTGGGGCAATCTGCCACCTCCATGGTCTCCAGCCTCCGAAACGCAAATACTCCAGCCCCATGGCTCAGGCTCTGCAACCTCCGCAAATTCTCGAGCTTGATTCGTTTGAGATCAGGGAGGATAGTGATGGTCTGCAAGCCATCCATTGCCCCCTCGTCCTCCAGTTCTATCAGTGCAGGACCTATTCCGTTGCACTCTTCAATCTCCAACTCCTCGAGGTTCTGAAGGCAGCTGCCCGCCCAGGTGAGCTTGGCTCTCCGTAGATCCGAGAGACGAAGGCGTTTTAGATTCGAAAGCGCAGCATCACTCTCACTAAACACCACCTCTTTTAGCTCATGTAATTTGTGCAGTCGGAGCTCTATCAAATTGAGCATGGCTTTCCCGAGAGAAAACGAGCATGGAATTGTGAAACTGGTCAATCCGTCGCAGTCTTCTATCTGGAGCCAGTGCGTGCGCATTGCTAGCCGTCGTGAACCACAGAGTCCTTGAAGAGCAGCCTCTGTGGCGATGGTGATGCCAAGAACCCTTAGATCATCCAAGCCTTCCAGCTCTCCCAACGACGACCCCATCTCTCTGGCCTCTCCCGTCGACCATCCACTATAGCTGTCCATCATATGCAGCCACATCAGTTTCTCCAGCCCTGACATTATTCCACCGGCAATATCCCTCAAGGAATTCGTCGATAGCAATATCAAATGCTTCAAATTTACCAGGTCTCGAATGCTCGATGGCAGAGACTCGATTCTCGTGCCACACAGACTAAGATATTCCAGATGGACCAGATGGCCAATGTTTGCCGGAATCGTTTCTATATCAACATGTTGCAGATTTAGGACCCTGAGGCACGGAATGCAGCCGAAGAAGCCATCTGGTATCGGCTCGAGTCGTCGATTGTTTCCAAGATCCAAATAAACCAACTTAGGACAATCCAGATTGTCCGGTAGAGTTTCTATTACGTTCCCAGACAGTGCTATTCTCTCCGCGACGTTCCAAATGCCAGCGTCTGGCGTTTCTTTCGCCCATTCTTTGACTCGTACATACCATTTGTTCTTCCTTTCCTCGCAGCCATTTGCAACCCACAGTATCATGGCACGAACCATGGGGTGCATCTCGAAGGTCTCGTCATCCAGCCTTTTTATCAAAGACGCTGCAGTCAGCTCCTGCAGCAAACGCGACGCCCTGCTCATGGCATCGCCGATGTTCTCAAAGTCGGCTATGATCCCTTCGGCTATCCATAGTTCCATAAGTAGGTCCTTTCTGATGGGGCGCCCTTCTGCCTGTAGCGCGAAGCAGGAGGCACATTTCTGCAATTCACCGGACAGACGATCGTAGCTGCGTTTGAGAGGACCAAGAACTTCTTTTTCCATACCTGGAAGCTCGTGGGGTGCATTCTTCATGATGTGGCCTTTCTCCTTCCATTCCTCGGATGTCTTTTGGTCTTTCATTTCTCGAGCGGTGGTGACGAGTGCCGCGGCCAATCCACCGCACTTGTACACCATCGCTTTAGCGCGATAGATTATGATCATGTCCACGTTGTTGGGTTCCTTCCCCCACAGAGTGGACTGGAAGAGATCCCAGGCCTGCTCCTCCGCAAGGCCTTCCACTTCGATCGTCTTCTGTGCACCCATCCTACTGCAAACGTCCTCCAGTCGGGATGCGACGATGATCTTGGACGTGGACGGATTGGGAATTGGAATTCCCACGAGCTCGTAATTCAACGGTTCCCACAAGTCGTCCAGCAAGAGTGCGAAGTTCGACTTACTTAGGACGCCGAAAAGCAGGTCTCTTCTCTCGATCTGCGTTTCTGGACACGGCAAGCTCAGTTGTTTGCAGAGCGAGCTCTGGACGTCCATCACTTCACCACGTACCTCGAGGTAGATAACCACGTCATAATCCGTTTGGCGTTTCAGGAAGTCATCGTAGAGACTTCTCAGGAGTGCCGTCTTGCCCGCCAGACCCATCCCGTGGACCCCGATGAAGCTCACGCTGCCGTCGCTTGCATGTCGTCGGAGCTGCTCGAACGCCTCGTCTGGGACGAGCGTTTCATCGGGCAAGGCCAACTTGCGGAATTTGCCGTTCCGTTTCAGCTTCCCCGCGGTCGCGACTGCTATCTCGGCTTTTCTTCTAAGCTGCTCGCTGGAGGAAGACAAATTCGCAGAGAGGCTGCTGCAAGCGCCCCTCCTCTTCAACCTGCTGAACTCCTCGTTCAGCGATCTGGTTTCTGTTTCAAGTTGTTGAATGGATTTCATCCACTCGATCACTCTGCGCTTGGGCTCGAGCCCCCGAACTTTTGCCACTTCCACCTCTCGGCTGACGGCCTCTCTTTTGCACTTCAGCTCTTGCACCTCTCCGGCCAAGAAGCCGAGGTCCTTCTCAAGTGACATGAGGTGTTCGCGTGAAGGAGAGCAGCAATCCCTGACGGCGGAGTCGAAGATCTCTGTAAGAGAGCTCATAGCGGAGAAGATAAATAAATAGATGTGATGGAGGAGAAGACTCACAGAGGTACAAGGAAGAAGAAGAGTAGCACGCTGGATTTATAGCCTATGCAGAAGCGAATCCGTAGTTTTCTCGCCATGAAAGCAAACGAGTGATGCAGAAGCGAATCCGAATCTCACATCGAAAGCAAAGCAAGAGACTTCAGTACGGGGGGAATCGCTTGTCATGGAGAAGCAAACCGGAATTATACGAAGCTCACCAACAAAGCAAAGTAGAAAGCCATCCAAGAACGGATCTTTCTTGGTTGCTGCCAAAAACCGGCAAAGGTACTAAAGTACACAGTAAAAATAGGTTGACAGTAAGATTCGTTTCATGCCAATATACCAATCAACTTTACTCAACTATACTGAAGAAACAATATCGAATGTACGCATAATATATAAAAACAAATCAATATATCACTCATCAATCTTTTATCGAATCGATTTATACTACCTAATACTGAGCGATGAGAAAAAAAAAAAAGACTGTTGATATAAGAAAACTTGAATCCTTCTCATCATCTTAATGTGTATAATATCCCAAACACATAAAGGGGACCATAGAAACACCAAATTATTCCATCAAACTGTTGATATAAGAAAATAGATAATTTCATGGATCGTAGCAAAATAACAGACACTGATAAAAGTATAATTCTTTCACGAAAACTGATTGCTTGAACTTTGGGCCTTTGCCTGCTCGACAGGACATTCATTCCCTGTACCATTTGCACAAGTGCAAAAGAGTAAACAAAAGAAGCAGAGGATCTACTTCGCCATTTCATTCACAAAAACCTGATAAATCTCACTGAAAATGATTCTGTTTTGGATCTAAAGATGACTCGGATCATAGAAATGCAACACAACAAAGATGCAGATAAGAAAGAGAGAATGCCTGGTTCATGGTTGCTTCCTTTTGGTGTATCTCCTGCAACTGCCCATATCAAAAGAATCTGGTGCTGTACAGTTCTCTCTTCTTTAAACATGTGCATTATTTGGGGGAGGAACTTATTATGGATGAAATAATATATTTAAAGGGCAAGAAGACTGTTGTGTTCTATCATCTTCTTTGGAAGTTGAGGTATTTAATTGCCAGAGCAAATACCACAGCAAAGAGGACGCAGAAACCAACGACCATGACTGCAACTACACCCAGGAACTCATGCCTGAAACCAAAGTGGTGCTTCAGGAACAGCTTTATGCTCATTGAGTGAATACCATCTGAAAGATTCATGGGCGCATCTACGTCCCCAAACTGGGAAGTAAGTAGGCCATACAAAGTCCATGATATTGGATCAGCCCAGTAATACCATCTCCACCACCCAGGTATTCTCTGCATCGAACAAAACTGAGTTACATTATTCCCCATGAGGACATCAATGATACAAATGTAAAATGAAATCATTTCCCATGAAAAATGTCAAGATAATAATCCCCACAAACAACACTCGGTTTCTCGATCCGAACTTGCACAAACCGGGGTTGGTGATGGGACAAGTTTCATGGTGCAGAAGGGTAGGCTAATATTGGGGTGCAAACTGCTGCAGCCCAGAAAATGGTGCTTGGAAATGTCTTGACTAGCTGGTGATTGTAACCGCAGAAAAAGTCATGAGAAGAGGAAGATGATGAATTGCAGGTATAGATGAGAATGTCGTATGAAATACTAAGATAGAGATTTCAATGGAATGTCAATTTAGAAAATGAGAGAATATATTCACTTGATTATTGTCATATGAAACTCGTTGACAAAGATGAAATAATGACTGACATCATTACTACTGTATGTACCACAACAACTCATGCTCTTTGTTACATATGTGCAATTGAGGACCACAAATTCCAAAGGGCATTAAGATCAGTAGTCAAGGGAAACAAGAATATTAATAAAATTCCCATACCTGAAATATCATGACTAATTTGCAATTGTGGTCTATATTATCTATCTACATGAGACATGACTTTCTATCCAGCACTTGAGGAAAATTTGCTTCAGCTGTGATTAACTAGATTCTCAAAATCATCTTAATCTTTATGGTAGAATCAAAATGATGTAACTTAATTTCACAACCCAATGAAACACATGCAACAGATGATACTTGACGTTTCCAAGGAAAAAAAGAAGAATTTTCAAATGTTTAAGTATCATAAAAACCACCCAATAGCTAGGGGAGAGACAGCAAAATAAATGACTTTTATGTTACTGAATCTAATTCTATCATTTCAGACAGTTACTAAAACAACAGATGAAGAGACTAAAAAATATACATTTGACAAAGCAACTAAGGAACAATTGCAACTTCCATGAAGAATAACAATCAATAGGGATAAAGTATTCTATTATGTGTAATTGCCGATTGGTGTCAATTCTTACTTCTAGGATAAATAACAAGAACTAGAAGTTGGTAATGTGAAAAAAACAAGACAAAAGATGTGGGTAATTTCCTGTTGTCACACTTGGAAATTGTACATTAAAGGGTAAACATGAAATCCGGAATGCTAGCTAGAGGGAGGATGCCTTTGCTACATGAGCTCTCATGTCTCTCCCAGAATATAGCGTCATGTAAACACCAACATGTGGGAGACAGTCCATGATTGACACTAATCAAACTAGTTGACTATTGAACTTCATTTTCAAGATAGATAATGATATAAGAAGCTAAATCTTAACCTTTTTTCCACTTTTGGCAATATAAACATTAATATCAAGCAATACTATTTTATAAGTTGTATTCTGATCGACCTGTATCTGCCATTTATCTCGTTGCAAAATTGGACTCTTGGATGTGTGTCTGAATTTGATTCTTGTACCCATATCCCTATTTCATACTGAAGGAGAAATTCCTTGTTGATCGATTTTAACTCATAAAACAAGGAGATACATGGAAATAATGATCGATTCTTAGATAAACAACTCTATTAAAATCTAAGAAACAAAATTTCATATAAAATAGTTAAAATGGTACAAAGTCCTCTAATACAAACTAAACATATAAAGATGCAGTAGTTTTATTACCTGATGCGTGATCATGAACCCACTAAAGAGATTCCATAGTGTATAAAATGGTGCAGCAATTATCGGTGCAACAGTATGATTTGGAGTTATTGCGATCGTCATCATGCCGAAGAAGGTGAAGTACAATAAAGTGAAATACATAAAGAATATATACCACAAATACTTAGCCAGGCTCCACTCAAAAGAGCCCATACAGTAAAATATGGTGCCATAGACAAGTGTCTGTACAAGCACATATGGAAATTCAATAGAAACCTGCCCATAAAAAAGTGCACTGATTAGTTAAATGTCTAAAATGCACGAGTAAAAATAAAAAAGTTTTTTTCGACGATAAAAATAAAAAAGCTTGAAGTACATGAGACCTGAGCAAATGCAAATGGTAGAGCCGAGTACATTCCAGCTGCTCTCTCCCTGTAGGAAACAAACCTTTCTATGGAAACCACAGGTTGAACTGCAGTGGCATTGGTAATACCAATGAACAAGACAGCAGCATACATGGATCCCATGGCATTAAAGATATCCTGTTGTTTTTGCCTGCAAAAAGAGTGAAGACAAGTAATATTGAAAGTAAGAAAATATAAAAGGGGAAAATGTAAACAATTCTGAATATTGGCTTCCACCCATTGAATGAGTCAAATCAGAATATCCATACTTATATTCTTTCGAGTAAGAGTTGTCACCCATTAATTAAAAGAATAAATATATAACATACGAGGGTTGTCAATTATAGAGAATGTAGGGGAGTTTATATCAAAATGCCTGTAAACAAGTATTACATAGTAAAGCAGTTTCAACAAAGAGTTCAAGTCCTTAAGTAAAGACGGGTGGTCAAATGCATGAGACTTCCACCGACAAGCAGAAAGTTTATTCCTGTGACTCCCGCTATGGTAACTCATTTCACATAACAGAATCCTTAGCATACATTATGTCTCAAATTTAGCTCAAGGTTAAACATAGGGGTCAATATATCCAGCCTTAACTCTATAAATAAAAAGATTATTTTTGTGAACCCTGGCAGTAAATGAGAGAATTTTACTCTAGTACCAAGCCTCATCTCTCTGAAAACATCTTACGTGAAGAATACAAGGTCATAGCATCCAAAAAAAATACATCACAGAAGTGCTATACCAATCAGATTTCTGCACAACCATCAGAAATGATTTACTTCCGAATTCTGAATAAACTGGTAACTATAATAAAATATTGTATATCAACCAAACCAGATGTAAGTATCAAAGTCCTGTAGAAATATAAGAAAAAACAATCATGTGTAACACTCCATAAGTACCTTTTGGAGCCAAAACCCCAGCAGATAGTTCCAAACATCAAAGATATGATGACAGTGTAGAAGAAACGGACTGCTGTGTACTGAGGATTCCTCCAATAAGAGAGATTCTGCTTCCAAAGGCAAGCACGATATTGGGCAAGAAATGACTGTGAATACTTGGTTGGAAAACTCAGTTCTTTTGTTTCACTGTTTGGTTTGCTCAGATTCTCCACCAAATCCTTATTCTGTCTGGAAAACATAGAGCCCACAAAAAATGAAACAAAACCAACTGTTAGAAAGAGTCCCAATAGTTTTGGCAAAAACTAGACTTTTGAAATGAACAAGGATGTGATCTCCTTTTCCAAGACATACCGAAATAATTTTGATTTTCTATAATAATCAGCAAAATCCATGCCTAGGCGATTTTCCAACATAAGACTAGTCACTTCAAGCATCCATGCAGCAGGATTATAGCCATCCTTGATCTTAGGAACTCCAGGAATTGCCTAACCATTCAAGATCAAATGCATCTCATGAAAAAACTTATCCAACTCTTGAGAAGAAAATATGAAGAGCAGAGAAAAAATCATAACCAACCTCGAAAAACTCAACTAGCTTGCGAGATTTGGGACCTAAAGGACCAGCATAAATAAGTTCTCCTCCATGCTTCATGAACAGAAGCTGTAAACATTCATGAAATATAAGAGAACCAGAAAAAAAGCAAAAATTTCACATAATACATACCATTTCTAAACAAGTGAGAGATATCTAATATAAAGCAGATTTTCCTTTTGTTTGCCTGTGGTTTCTGAAAGCATAAATTTTAGGCATATTACTTGCTAAATTTTCGCTCTGAAGGATCTTCAATGA